CCACTGTGAATAAGAAACGTACGCCTTTAGCGACTAATACGTGTTTAGCTTAAAGCACTTAGGGCTACAAATGTGTTAAAGAAGTAAAGTTCAAAATTGTAATAGTACTTTAAAAATTACTATAAAAAGTACTTTTTTATAACATGGTAAACAAAAATCTTCTTATTTTAGAAATTAAAACTAAATTTTTAATAATATTTTGAAATAATTTGTTAAAAATGTGGTTGAGAATGAAGACTATTGCTTGGGGACACAAATGTGTTCAAAAATATATTTCATAATTACAAAGCTTATGTTCTACTATATAAAGTACTAAAAAAGTACTTTTTTGAAACCACTGTGAATAAGAAACGTACGCCTTTTGCCACTTATTCGTGTTTAGCTTAAATCACTTAGGGGCACAAATGTGTTTAAGAAGTTTAAGTTCAAAATGGTAATCGCACTGTAAAAAGTACTTTTAAAAACTTACTATTTTACTAAAATTTTTATAATATTTTGAAATAATTTGTTAAAAATGTTGTTGAGAATGAAAATATTACTTTGGGACACAAATGTGCTAACAAATTAAGTTCAAAATTACAAAATCTTATGCCCTACTACATAAAGTACTAAAAAAGTACTTTTTAAAAACATAGTGAATAAAAAACCTACATCTCTTGTGACTTATATTTGTTTAGCTTACAGCACATAGGGACACAAAAGTAGCAAAAAATTAACTTCCAAATGGCATTAGTAGTGTAAGAAGTACTGTAAAAAGTACTTTCTTATAACATTTAAATAAAAATTTTACTATTTTCGAAATTAAAAATTAGAATTTTTATAATATTTTGAATAATGTGTTAAAAATGTTGTTGAGAATGAACACTATTACTTGGGACACAAATGTGTTAAAAAAATAAGTCCAAAATTTTAAAATACCATGCTCTTTAATATTAAGTACTAAAAAAGTACTTTTTAAAAACCATACTGAATAAAAAAACCTGTAACTTATACTTGTTTAGCTTATAGTACTTATGGAACACAAATGAAGCAAAAAATTAAGTTTCTATGCCATTAGAAGTGTAAAAAGTACTTTTTGGCACTCAATTAGTACCAAAAAGTTAGGGGACAAGTTAAGGTTTTGTTTATAGAGTTTTAAGAAATATTTTCGTTCAATTTAAATCTTTATTAGATTTTAAATTATTTCTATAGTTAGCTGACAAGTTTCTATAAAAGTACTTTATTTTTAGGTACTTTTTTTGGCTATTTATTTCTTTAGATTTCAACATGTTTAGCAATTTAACTTGCAGTGCTATTAATATTATGAATAATTTTAAAAATATGTAATAAAAAATCAAATAAAAAAAAAAACTAAAATTGTATGCGTTTCTAACATCCGGTACGAAATAAAACAAACTTTCAACAAAATGAATATGTTTTCTCCATTATAATAATATGTACTTGAAAAACTATTGCTATAGGTAAATAATATTATATATTTTTAAAATACATACATACATATATAATAAATATTTCGAAAAAAAAAATGTTTTTAAAATACATCATATTAAATTTGTTAAAAAAAAAAGTACTAAAAACAAAATACAAACAAATTTAAAGGCAAATTTTTGAAAAACAAATACTTTGATACTTATATTTATATAAAAAAAAGAACTTTGATAAATTAAAAATAATAATTTTAAAGTAATAATTAAACAATTATTTTCTTTATAAAAATTATGAATTGCAGTTCAGTGTATGCGGCACCTTTGCTAGCGTCAGCAGCCAATGGCATGCAGTATGGTATGCAGTCAACAGCCTCAGCTTCAACACCTCCGCCAACAGCCTCACAACATCATAGCTCTGGTTCAGGTGTAGCCACTACATCGAGTCAAAGTAATCATACTACCGCTGGGGCTTTAACAACTACTCCAATAACAATAATCTCAATGAAACAAATTCTCATTCGGATGACTATGGTTCACCCAAAAGTACACAAAGTAATGGTGCTGGTGGTGGTGGTGGTACTTTGCCAGCATTCCAGCGTATAGCCACTACTTCCTATAATCAAAATACACATGCTTCAGCAGTCGATCGTTATGGCTCCTTGACTAATTATAGAACTCATGTAAGTTGCTTTAAAATACTCTAACGTTTTTTTTTCAAAATTTACTTTATTAAATATATTTTATTTTTCCTTTTCTTGACAATTTAGAACGATACTTGGTCTAGTCCTTATGAGGCCATTAGTTATGCTCCCTCTTCGGTGGTGGGTAATCAAGCTTTGAATAATGTCCTAACTGCCGCCAATACAAATGTTATAACGTTCCGCTGTTAATGGTCGTACGGTCAGCTCATCAGCTGAGGTAACAAGTCCTGCTGCTGCTGCTACTAATTTAGTAGCAGCCCATTTGTCGGCCTCTGCCTCATTGTCAGCCAGTAAGTTTAAATTTAAATTTCAATTAATATTGTTTATTTTTGTTTCGTAGTTAATTACTTTATTTATTATTTATATTAAAAACACGTATTTGCCTAGTATTATATATTAATTTAAACTGATAAGCTTTATATATTAATGTGTTCACACATACCAAAACAAAAAAAAAGAAGAAAAAGGCTATGACCTTTTTCTTAAAGCAGACAAACAGTATTTAAAATAATTTAAATATAATTTCAAGTTAATTTATTTATAAAAAAAAAATATTTCAAAACGTTGAAAACCTATATTCTCTCAAGAAATTTCTTTGAATTTCCCTGCCTTATGTATCTGTCCCTTCATTAACACGCATGTGTGGCCACATTAAAGAAAAACATAAATTTGTGCTTATAAAAATTTCACACTTACTCAGTTTTCACAAAATTGTTGTTTGAGTATCCTTCAAAATTTAGGTAGATTTTAAGAAAATTTTCTTTTTCCTATTTACGTAACCTGTGTAAATGTGGTCTGGGTTTTGGTTTTTGTGTAAATATTTACTAGTTAAATAAAGGACTTTGTGAAAACCATTTGTTGTTATAGATTTCCATACAGTTTTTTTCTATTTAAAATTAGTCTTTTGTAGTGGATTGGTTTTAGTTAACGACTTCCTTTTAAAGCTACAACTAATTTGAATTTACTGTTCCTAAAGCCTAAAAAATGAACAAGATGTTAAAACCTTCAACTGCTTTCAACTTTCACTTTCTGTACGTTTAAGTCACGTCTGAGTGTCTTCTAAAAGTCACTTGCATGTAACTAATTGATGGCTCTTCTGCGAGGAAAAGTTCTTCCAAACAAAACAACAATATAATTATACTCCAGCGATTAAATGTGAGAGCACATTCATCGTATTATCGCATGGAAGACACTTTCGAGTTTCGCTATAAAAAGTTGGTTAGATAGATAGACAGACAGACAGATGGATAGATAGATAGATAGATATATAGATAGATAGATAGATAGATAGATAGATAGATAGATAGATAGATAGATAGATAGATAGATAGATTCGCTCGCTCGCTCGCTCGCTCGCTCGCTCGCTCGCTCGATCGCTCGCCTCGCTCGCTCTCCTCGCTCGCTCCTCGCTCGCTCCTCGCTCGCTCGCTCGCTCGCTCGCTCGCTCGCTAGCTCGCTCGCTAGCTCGCTCGCTCGCTCGCTCGCTCGCTCGCTCGCTCGCTCGCTCGCTCTCGCTCGCTCGCTCGCTCGCTCGCTCTCTCGCTCGCTCGCTCGCTCGCTCGCTCTCTCGCTCGCTCTCTCGCTCGCTCGTCGCTCGCTCGCTCGCTCTCGCTCGCTCGCTCGCTCGCTCTCTCTCGCTCGCTCTCTCGCTCTCTCGCTCCTCGCTCGCTCGCTCGCTCGCTCTCTCTCGCTCGCTCGCGCTCTCGCTCGCTCTCTCTCTCGCTCGCTCGCTCGCTCTCGCTCGCTCGCCTCGCTCTCTCTCTCTCGCTCTCTCGCTCGCTCGCTCGCTCGCTCGCTCGCTCGCTCGCTCCTCGCTCGCTCGCTCCTCGCTCGCTCGCTCTCTCGCTCGCTCGCTCTCGCTCTCGCTCGCTCGCTCTCGCTCGCTCCTCGCTCGCCTCTCTAGCTCGCTCTCTCGCTCGCTCGCTCTCTCGCTCGCTCGCTCTCTCTCTCTCTCTCGCTCTCTCGCTCGCTCTCTCTCTTCGCTCTCTTCTCTCGCTCTCTCTCTCTCTCTCTCTCTCTCTTCGTCCTGCTCTCTGCTCTCTCATCTCTCTTCTCCGCTCGTCTTCGTTCGCTCGTTCTATCTTTCGTTTCATTCTTCGTTCGTTTGCCGGATATATGTATGTTTCATCAAATCCAAATTAACAACAGAGGGCCTCCCATCGGGCCTATTCGGGAAGTGTGAATCCTGGGTCGACTGACTGGACTCTACAAAAACTCCTACCTGAGGCTCAACAATAAGCGAATTTAAACTTATCATTAAGTTAATTTTTGGCTTCTTCAAAGCAAAGTTTTAAAACGTTACAAAAACTTTTTTCTTTAAGTTTTTCCGGTTTCTTTCGTCAAATGATATCGGTCAAGTGGGTTGCTAAACAGTTGTAATTAAGAATTTTGAACCTCATAACATATTTGAATCATTTGAGCGAGTACTTAAAACAATACAAAAATATCCTTTGAAAGTTTCCCAACAGTTTGATATCAAAGAAAATCTACTGTTACTATGATTAAAATCCGTCCAAATTTTTTCGATTTTAAGTTCCCTGAGTAACTGAATAGTAAGATACTAGCCCTAAGACTTAAAAGGTTTAAGAGAATAGTTTAAATATAATTAAGATAAAAGATCAAAAACTTACGTAGAAGCAATATTTCATTTAAAATATCAAAAAAATATCGTTTAGATTAGAGCCCCAAATAAATTAAACATGAATATTAACAATAACTTAAACTTAGTTTAAATTAAAAACTAACATACTCCTCCTTAAAATATGCTACTAATATTAATTTTATTCTTAAGCCTACAAATACTCTACATCAACTAACCTACTATCATTTTTTTATTTAAAATCATTCAACACTATTTATATTTCTTTTTTAAATCATTTAGAAAAACAAACAAATATTTATTATTTTTTATAATAAATTCAATTAATTTTTTTTTTGATTTGTTACACAATCACACATAATTTTTACTACAACAAAACAACAACAATAGGAACTATATAACTTTTGTTTTTCATTAAATTATTAAGTAAAATTTTTTTTATGTTTTGGAAACGTTAAAATAGCAAAAAAAGAAACCCCAAACATTATAAATATTGATGGTATTTTGTTATGTGTCTATTATATTTGAAGCATTTTTTGATGCCGATTTTTTTACGGAGGGGCGAGAATGTGTCAATTGTGGTGCAATTTCAACTCCACTATGGCGACGTGATAATACCGGACATTATTTATGCAATGCGTGCGGTCTTTATCATAAAATGAACGGAATGAATCGTCCCTTAATTAAACCACCCAGAAGATTGGTAAATTATTTTACAGTAATTACAAAAAAGAAAAACAAAATTTTTGAATTTATCTTTTATAATTTACAAAAAAAAAAATAAAGAAAATCAAGCTTATAGAAATCCTTTGCCCTTTGTTTTTAAAACGTTCTCGCTTCTTAAAAGTTTATAGTTTTGCAGAGATTAAAAAAAACCTAGAAAAATTAATTGAATTTATTATAAATATAAAATAACAAAAAAAATTAATATTTTAATAAGTTTTTTTTTTGTATTATTTTGAATGAATGCTTTAGTTAGTTTGTTAAAATTTTGTAGAAAAAAAATTAAATGCAATTAATTTTTTTTTGTTTGTTAAACATTTAATTAATGAAACAACTCAATCACTATATTACAGTGGCCGCTGAATCAGGCGGGGATTTCTATAAGACCTTTCCGTATACAAATCGGAACAGCAACAACAACAACAGCACTACCAACATTAAAGAGGAACATGTTGTTAGTCGTGCTACTTCGCGACGTCTGGTAGGTGTTTTTCTTAATATACGATTTGTTTTTTATTTTTTCAATTCAAAAATTTTGTTTTTTTCTAATTTTTGAGTATTTGATAATTGTCCAATTCACAATAGATTGTGCGATTGTGAATACGACAATTGTTTTTTAAGTTAGAAAACTTTTAATTAATTTTTGTTTTTTTTTTCTTAATTTTTTAATAAAGAGTGCCTCTAGAAGGGCTGGTTTGACTTGCTCCAATTGTTTGACTACCCAAACTTCTTTATGGCGTCGTAATCCCAATGGTGAACCGGTGTGTAATGCCTGTGGTCTCTATTACAAGCTGCATAGTGTTAAACGTCCCTTAACCATGAAAAAGGATACAATACAGGTAAATTTTTAAAGAAATTATACAATATTCTAAATTTTTCTAGAAAAGTTTTTATAAATTAAGAATTCCGAACTAAATTTTTATAAAATTTTTTCTTCAACAGACTCGCAAACGTAAACCCAAAGGCTGTAAAGCCGAAAAATTATCGAAAAAGCAAGCTGCCGCAAATGCAGCTCTTGCTGCGGCGTCTGAACAATCTATAAATGCCTCAAATAATACTCTCAATACTAGCACAGAAAGTGCCAACTTGAGCCTGCTCAATGGCGATCATGGTAAGTGTTAAACGAAAACTATAGCTCATCTCTCAGCATGCTTATTAATAATTTATCGTATTCTTCTCTTTTTTGTCTCTTTTCATATTGATTATCAATTTAATTGTCGTTTTATTGTGGGGTAAAAAAATTTATGTTTAAAATAAAGATATTAAACCTTTAACACAACAATTATTAAATGCATCAACATCATCACTAACACAATCGGCGGCTACATCACCCACCAATAGTATATCATCGCCTTGTCATAATAACAATAACAATAATCACAGCATGAATATGTCACCAACATCACCGTTAATGCAACAACAACAACAGCAACAGCAGCAATCACAACAGCTTAATAATATGGGTAATATGTCACCACAGCAATATCAGCAACAACATGCACAACAGCAGCAGCAGCAACAAATGTCACCCATAATGTTTCAACATCATCAACATCAAGCCTCATCTGCCTCTTCATCTCCCTCTAATCATTTAAATTCTAATAATAATAACAATAACAATACAACAACATTTAATCATAATGATAATGAAAATTTGAAATTTATGCAAAAATATATACAACAGCAACAGCAAGCGGAACAACAACAATTAATGAATACAACCACACCACAGCAACATACAACGAATACGCTAATGAATCCTCATTCACCCAGCAGCAGCAACAACAACACCACATCACCAACAGCAGCAGCTGCCAACAAATGTGCAACTCCCAACAACAACAACAATTCACAGACACAACAACAACAGCAGCAACAACAATATCTACAGCAACAATTACACCAACATCATCATCATCAACAGCAGCAACAACTATTAACAGCCAACAATCCTCATGGTCACCCAACCAATCTACATATGGGATCTAATCATCATAGTCCTATAAATTCCTATCATCCCGAACCACCAACCAACTCACCACCCACCTCTCCTGTCTATGAAACTTATGGTGAATTATTACCTTCCTCGAATGATCCCAATAACAGCATTAAAATCGAACAATTACATCAACATTTGGCTGAAGAGCAACAACACCAGCAGCACCAACAACAACAACAGCAAATCTTACACAGCCATTTAAATAATATGAGTCGTAGTCCCTCCATGGATGATGATTATGAATATCATCAATTTTTACTACAACGTCAGCAACATTTACACGATTTGCAACAGCAACAGTTTTTGCAATTCGTTCCACAACATTTGCATGATTTTAGTCGTAAGTTCGATAGGGAGACTGTAGTGAAAATGGAATAATTTTAAAGATGTTATTTAATCCGTTTCCAGTTGTTAGACTGGAGCTCGAAGGACCATATACATTTTCATTTCAGTCGTTACAAAACTTTGGTTTTTATAACTTTTAAAATTTCTATTTTAAAAGAAATGTTTAAACCCTTTTCTAGCTGAGGGAACTTATAAGTAACACTTCGTATAAATATTTTTACTATAGAAAGTTCTTGGAGCAACTGAAATGATATCTTAGTTCCGAAAGACTCGGTGCTATAAAATTTGCTTTCCACAAAAGGCTATTTATTGAAAAAAAAAAACTCTCAAAAAATTCGAATTATAATTCAAAAAACTCAATTTTAAAGGTTATGAGTTTCGAAGGAATTCTAAATTTTAACCAACTTTATCTGGTTATTGCCCAGGCATGGAAAATTAAGATTTTAAAATAGTACTAATTTATAAAAAGAGTATTTTTTACTTTTTAAAGTACTAAAGTTGAATAGATTATAGACTAGACTATGGACTAGACCAGAGACTAGACTATAGACTAGACCAGAGACTAGACTATAGACTAGACTATAGACTAGACTATAGACTAGACTATAGACTAGACTATAGACTAGACTATAGACTAGACTATAGACTAGACTATAGACTAGACTATAGACTAGACTATAGACTCTATAGACTAGACTATAGACTAGACTATAGACTAGACTATAGACTAGACTATAGACTAGACTATAGACTAGACTAGAGACTAGACTATAGACTAGACTATAGACTAGACTATAGACTAGACTATAGACTAGACTATAGACTAGACTATAGACTAGACTATAGACTAGACTATAGACTAGACTATAGACTAGACTATAGACTAGACTATAGACTATAGACTATAGACTAGACTATAGACTAGACTATAGACTAGACTATAGACTAGACTATAGACTAGACTATAGACTAGACTATAGACTGAACTATAGACTAGACTATAGACTAGACTATTAGACTAGACTATAGACTAGACTATAACTAGACTATAGACTAGACTATGACTAGATATAGACTAGACATAGACTAGACTATAGACTAGACTATAGACTAGACTATAGACTAGACTATAGACTAGACTATAGACTAGACTATAGACTAGACTATAGACTAGACTATAGACTAGACTATAGACTAGACTATAGACTAACTATAGACTAGACTATAGACTAGACTATAGACTAGACTATAGACTAGACTATAGACTAGACTATAGACTAGACTATAGAATAGACTATAGACTAGACTATAGACTAGACTATAGACTAGACTATAGACTAGACTATAGACAGACTATAGACTAGACTATAGACTAGAACATAGACTAGACTATAGACTAGACTATAGACTAGACTATAGACTAGACTAGACTAGACTAGACTATAGACTAGACTATAGACTAGACTATAGAACTAGACTATAGACTAGACTATAGACTAGACTATAGACTAGACTATAGACTAGACTATAGACTAGACTATAGACTAGACTATAGACTAGACTATAGACTAGACTATAGACTAGACTATAGACAGACTATAGACTAGACTATAGACTAGACTATAGACTAGACTAATAGACTAGACTAGACTAGACATAGACTAGACTATGACTAGACTATAGACTAGACTATAGACTAGACTATAGACTAGACTATAGACTAGACTATAGACTAGACTATGACTAGACTATAGAACTAGACTATAGACTAGACTATAGACTAGACTATAGACTAGACTAGACTACTATAGACTAGACTATAGACTAGACTATAACTAGACTATAGACTAGACGATAGACTAGACTATAGACTAGACTATAGACTAGACTATGACCTAGACTATAGACTAGACTATAGACTAACATGACTAACTATACTAGACTATGTACCGAAAGTTTATAAGTTAGAAAAAGTATCGAAAAATTTCGTGGTGTACCGCGAATTCTTCGAAATCTGAATTTTCCATGTCTGTTATTGTCTATGCATATTATTCGCATTGCTGAGTTTCGAAGGACCCTTATTAAAATCACAAAAACCAACAACTAAGCAATTTCAATAAATTTTAAACCACCTCTCCCTAAACATCCAAAAAAGTAAAACCAAAGATTACCTAAAAAAATCTAGAAAAAAAATCCCTAAAATATTTTTAAAAAATCTAGAAAATTTCCAAAGAATCTTTAGAATTTATATTTCCTAAATACATATAACATAGAAGTTAATTTTTTCTCTACAAATAATTTAAACTTTATATTTTAATAAAAAAACAAACTTTAGCTATAAATCTAAAAGACAACCAAATGTATACTTTTAAAATTTTTAAATATTTTTAACAAAAAAAATCCACTTCCTTTAAGGACCATAAAAAAACTTTCAAAATTGTTTGTAAATAATTTTTTAAAACTAAAATTAATTAAGTAATTAATTACCCTTTAAACCAAATTATTAATTAAAATTTATAAAACCACTTTAATTTAAATATTATTTTTTTTACGAAATTTAATTTTTATAGCAGAGATTTTAAGTTAATTGTTTTTGCTTTTATTTTAATTTTTCTATATAGTTTATTTTCTGTAAATTTTAAACACAAAATATTTTATAAACTTTTTATTTATAATTTGTAAATTTTTTTGATATATATTTTTTTAAATTTAATTCAAAATTTATTTTATCTATTTATATATATAAAAACAAAAAATTTCAAAAACAAGACACCGTAAATCTCATATATTTAATAAGTTTATATATTGTTTTATTATTATTATTTTATATATAATTTTTTATAACAAATTTAAATTAAAATTTATTTTATTATTATTTTTTATATAAATATTTTAAATTAAATTGTTACTTCCTATTGATATTTTAATTCTTCCATAGTTATTAAGTCCACAAAACAAACGAACATTTTTAAATAATAAATAAAAAAAATATTGAAAATATAGAACCGATGGATTTTGAAATTTATTTGTTACCGAGTAGTCCCTAGACTAATTAATTTATTTGTCCATATACCAGTCTATTTATAATCAATAGACTAGTTAATAGAATATTCAATAAACTTGTCCATGGACTAGTTGGACTAGTGCATAGAGTAGTTAATGACGAAACCCGAGCCCATTTTAGACTAGTTCATAAGACTAACTCATAGTCTAGTCAACATAAAGAAGCAGTTTTGAAAATCTTCATGTGTTCCTTATTTATCCCTAAGGAATGTGAGCCCTAAGGGCCAAAGTGTTTCAGATTCCATTTTGAGAATTGCAGAGAATATTATATTGCAGGACGTGTGACCTTTTAACAATTTTTTTACATTTCTTGTTTAGAATTATTGACGGATATATATTCTAAACCTAAAATCGAATACCCCTTGGCTACGTCCGTGTCGAGTTTTAACCCGATCGTGCCAGCCGTTTAGAAAAGCCAGATTTATTTTAATAAAATTTAGATTCTGCCCCACTGTGCAATGTAGAGAAAAAGAGTAAACAAATGTATTCAAAAAATTTTATGATAAAATGTAAAACGACTATACATTTAAAGTGCCTTTAATAAAATTCCGCTTAGTGTATATTCTAGATCATTAATTTTCGTTACAAAATTTAGCACCTATAAGCAGGCAACATTAAATCATAATATTTACCACTGTGGAGAAACCAACCACTATCAAGGTAAGGCAGTTCAATAATTTGGATAACATAGTTAAATAATGGTTTATGTGGTGAATTAATTTGTTTAACACAACTTGAAAAACTCACCACTTATGAGCAAATGTTTATGAAATTTTATTTACCCTCTCATTTTATAAAACGAAACTGTCGTTTAACAACTTAAAATAACCATCTAATTAAAATCGAAAAAAATGTATTATTACTTTATTTATATCTAAAATAACCAATGAAAAAATATATTTAGCTTAGCCATACACCTTATAAACAACATTAAAACCACGTCTTCTTTAGCCATGCCACACACCATCAAAAAAGTGTTGCCAGGAAACTGAAGCAAACACGATGTAAAAGTTGCTAAAGGTATTTTCAGACTACAATACTGAGTATTAACTAGGGTGATCGATTATTCAACATTTTCCAAAAACCGGTTTTCGAATAGTTCGAATAGCTGACATTTAAAAAAAAACCGGTTGATATTTTTCAAATTCAGAAAAAACCGGTTAACCGGTTTTTTTATAAATAAAAAAAAAATATATTTTAATTTGAAAAACTTAATGTTCATGTTTAAATTTGATTAGTAAAACATGACCCGAAATGATTTTTAACAGTTTAAAAGATTATAACTTTAGATCTAGTCGTCTGATTTACATTATTTCTATAATATAAAAAAATTAGGAAAAAAGTAGGACACTTCTGTTATACATAAGGTACTATGTAATCCTAGCTTATTTTAAAAGCCCTGTTTAGGAAATCCGCATAGGCATTCGAACACTTCCATAAAATTTCAGCCGTAAATTAATTATTGTAATTGGAATATAATCTTAAGATTGATAAAATTTTATCAAACAGTTATCAGTTTTACAAATTATTTTTTTTTAATTAATTAGGAAAATCAAAAAGTTTAACGCTAGTTCCTCGACTCGAATATTTTAAAATTTAGACGGGCTGTATTATTATTAACTTAAAAATTTCATTTAAATAATCTTTGAACACAAAGCAAATAAAAGTATTCGAAACCGGTTTTTAAAAAATGAAAAAACCGGGTTATTCGATATTCGAAAAATCAACATTAAGAAAAAACCGACACTGGTAAAGCAGAAAAAACCGGTTTTAAAACCGGTTGAAAAATCGAGTCACCCTAGTATTAACACACTTCAAATTAAAAATATTATGAAAATAATTCGCATTTTCAAAAAATCAATCCGAAAAATACATTTTATGTTTACACTATAATATTTGTAATATTTTTTATCCAATTTTCAATTATTTATGCACTTTTCGTTCTTATTTTTAATGTATTTTACACTTTTTGTTTTGTTTTTTATTGTATTTATAAAATACATACCGAATACGTTTGAAATAAAAAGTTTTGAATTGTTTTAAAAAATTTATGATACCGACCGTATGCCAAAAAATCAGTAATATTTTTGAAACTAAAATTAACAAATTATATTTAGACTAGTAAATTGTATTATGATACAAACATTTTTGACAAGTATTAATACTCAGTATTGTAGTCTGAAAATACCTTAACAAGGTAGTTTTTGAGATAAATGATAATACATACAGATTTATTTTAACAAGCACGAAGTCTAGACTATGTCTAGACTAAGTCTATCTATCTATCTATCTATCTATCTATCTATCTATCTATCTATCTATCTATCTATCTATCTATCTATCTATCTATCTATCTATCTATCTATCTATCTATCTATCTATCTATCTATCTATCTACTATCTATCTATCTATCTATCTATCTATCTATCTATCTATCTATCTATCTATCTATCTATCTATCTATCTATCTATCTATCTATTATC